AGCAGTACTAGTGCAAAGCCTAGACATCAGATGATTTAGAAATTTGAGATGACACACGCATGATACATCAGCTAATCAGGAACTTCTGTTCTCACCCTCAGTAAGGATAAGTCCACGTGCCTTTCCATGACAACGGTCTTTTATTCTTGACCACATCATTAGTTATTCAAATTTATGACCTGGAACACGATTCTCGTTGCGAGCGACACACAGTTTTTGCTTTAAAATGTTTTAGAAGACATATAATGCTCGAAATTTGCCCGAAATGTGAAATATTGCTCAAATGTTGCCCAAAGCGCGAAAAAGTGCTTAAGGGTGCTCAAAATGCAAAATAGTGCTCCAAACTCAAAAAAGTGCTCAAAAGGTGCTCAGCGCAATCGGGAAAGGCCTAACGGGGGGAGGGAGGGGTTTATACCGGATTTAAAAAAGTGTCTTAAAGCAAGCTACATAGAAAAGCTGATCAAAATGCCCTTTGAATTTGATGGCGTTTTTAAGCTTCAAATCGTCTAGTTGTAAAAAGTCGAATTCATTTCATTACAGGGGGGGAGGGGCGGCTTATAAAAGGACCTTTTTTGTTTACAGGTTGATGGGTCTTGTTTACAATAAGGGGGCCTTATAAACGAAGGTTAACGTGTATTCTTACAGAAAGTTTAGCTTGTCAACGAACGGACCTTTTCATCTCTGAGATGTAATGAGCTTTACTCCCCGTGAGGTGACATTATACACATGCACAGACTTTCATAGCGCTAACCAAGAGTCATACCCGGGGGGTGGGGGTTACTCCCTATAATGGCCTATAAGGGGAGGCTCTCCCCGAAAGGGGTACCTTTTTCAGGCCTCAGGTATATGAAATGGAAGGGATTTTACTCGTTGAAGTATACGAAAGGGTAGGGAAATCTATCATTTGGCCGATCTGTGAAAGGGCCTAAAAGGGCTAACATGAATTTTAAGGCTTTATAAAGTCGAGAAAACGTTCTATTTTTGCGATTGTGGTAACGAAAGGGGTACCTTTTTCGTGAAAAACGGTATATAAAAGGGTAAGGGGTTGAACCTCGAGGCGGAGCCTCCCCCTATAAACATTTGTTGACTACCCCCACTTCCCCCGGGGTAGTCATTATGGCTCTTGCGCTGACTAAGCGAGATTCCAGCGAGAGGCCTCAAAGTCTAGACCTCAATTAAATCCTGACTATTTAACTAAGTAACTAACTAACTACAAAGGCATATTTTCTTCGTTAAGGTAAAAATGTTTAGTACGTGTGCAGCTACGACAGCTACTACAGATAGTACAGACGACTACATCAACAACACCTACTTCTAATCTACAGTTGCAACTGGGCAGTCTTACATCAATAGTAGTAGGCAGCAAGCTCGGGACATTTTGGGCAGTCTTACACCAAGTACTACCCGTGACGATACTGAATTTTTTGTTTTATTTTCTGATATTTTCTCAAAAACTAAAAGGTACAATTTTATTCATGTTTATTGTGATTGATATCAGTTACTA